AAGTCTTCACCAGCTGAAAAATTAATCGCTTTTTTTTATTTTCACTTAACTTTGATTATCAGTATAGTTAGGTATTGTAAAAGGTCAACAATTCAGTTCTCTGTTTGATTCCCAAACAATATATTTTCTGCCATTCCAAAACAACCTGTCATTTCAGTCCAACTTGAAATAACTTTTCTTCTGAAAACACTGGGAACTAAACGTAAAACTGAAAACATAGAGTATCAGTAGAGTTTTATGGTTGTGTTTCTATTCTGCAAAATGTTCAGTATATTTTAGCTGTTACCCACGAAGACCAGGTGGAGCATCTTTTAGTCATGTGTCACAGCTCGTATACTAGTCAAGTGTCTGCATGTTGTACCATGCCTTCCCTCCTATCAGACCTTGAGCTGAGTAGAAATAACGAAGAAAGTCCTTACGGCAACCCTGGGAGCTAAATGTAGATGTACCAAATGAGTTTCAGGAGGCAGAGGAGATGAGAGATCAGGAGTGACTATCAAAAAACAGTAAAGGATGGAGCTGTATGAGACCTGACCGTGCGTCAAGGTTTGCCTATAGGCAGCGGAGGAGTTTATGTACATCATAATTGCTCTGTGTAAAAAGTGATGGGAGAGAGGATGATGGGGATGATGTGTATGAATAGTTTTAAAAAGGTCTTAGTGGAAAAAACCACGTGCTTGCGAAATACAAATGTGACTTCAAAACAACGATAGTGATCTTGATGGCCTTCTGGGCCTCTTTCCATCTGCTGCATTTCTGCCTTCTAAATCGGTCTCCAAAGAGCACAACAAAAAAAATCCAACCCTTCTCCTTCTCCAAAACTAGCCCTGCCATGCCTAAGAGAAAATCTTACTGTTTGTATTAGGATTCCTCAGTGTGCTATGAAACAAGAAGAATATTGTTTCTTTTCTGGAGGGGCTCCTTGCTTGCATTGTCTAAATGCTTTCCCCCAGATAACCTCCTGACTGCTGGTTAGCAACAGTTTTATTAATAGAACTTATTTCAGACTTAGTTATGTCTGACTTATCATGCAGAGAGTTATGTACTTGACTGAGATACTATGGGCTTATAAAAAAATTCCCTGAGATACGAAGCTGTGAATGACATTAACAGCACCAAGGGGTGCGTGCATCCCTCCTGGTGTCTCTGGAACAAAACTAGGTTAATGCCATCGTTTAGGCAAAGAGGACAGTAACATTAGGGCTGCAGCTGATGCCACCGGTGACCAGGTGATGATCCCCTAAATCCAAGATTGCTAAAACAGAAAGAACAAAAGTGCTAAAACACTTCCTATTAGTTATGGAAAGATTTTAATTCAGACATCTGGTGTCGTCAAAGAACATGCAGCACAATCCACACATCAGGGCAGCAGACAAGTGAAAAGAGATTAGCAGTCAGCAGCTCTGTCTCTCATATGGATTTATACCAACTACCACAACTGTGAGCCTTGGTGGTGTGGATGCTTGGCACTCACAGGAATGTCCTTGCTTTAAAACCTCAGTTGCCAACAGAAAAAATGCCAGAGGAAATGCAATTCTTCTGTAGTGCCAGTATATTTAAAACAAACAAACAAACAAACAACAAAACCCCAAGGGTCTACTTCCAAGGAACTGGAGAATGTGAAGCCATATCTAGGAAAGCAAATTCCCATTAAGCCTGTGAGTAGGGTTGGGTGATGAAGGCTGCTCTGCTGACCAAGCTCAGTGAAGTCTGGAGTGATGCTGGTGTGCAGCACAGCAAGTGCCTGGGGTAGGAGTGGGTCTGGGCACCAGAGATGTCACTGAGGGCTTTCACTCCCTTGGATGTCCGTTGCATTAGAGCAGCAGATGCAGAGATGTCTCAGATGCAGAGATGCCTCAGAGCACGGACATGGGTCACTGTTTGTGGCTGCAATGCATTGGGACTCATTTGCCCTCTGCTTGGCTTAGCCTGACCCCATTTTTACAGCCTGTCCTCTGGATCCCTCCTGCCTGGGGTCTCTAGGGCGGTCCTCATGGACAGATCCACCCTTGGTCTTGGTACATACATGGAGAGGGCTTTGGTTTTGTGTGCTCCACACCGTGCTGAGGGAGAGGGGAGGGAAAACAAAACCCCAGCCATCTTTAGTCTAAACATAACCCAGAGTTGGTTCCATCCATCTACAATGATACCTTGTGGACGGGTAAATGATGACTTGTCTGTCCTTACAACTCCATGGTGGTATGTGTTGAGAGGGGAGAAAATAGCAGCAGCCACCACCCACACATCTCTGCATCTTTCCTGAGAAGAAGCCCTGCCTGGGCGGTAGCTCTGGTCAAACCGCCTGCCACCACCTTGCCAGATGTCATGCATGGTCCTCCAGCTCCGGATGGTGTTTTGATAGGGGCTGTGACTAGATGTGAGGCACACTCAGCCCTTCAACTCAAACCTTCCCTTTGATCCAGCCATGGGAATTTGCAGTTATCCTTTTTCCCCCTGGCACAGCTTGTCCTGATCTGCAGTCTGCCAAAGGGCTAGCACATGCTTTCTGGGTGGGACTTAGCGGATCAGAAAATGACATCTACATCTGTGCTAGTCACGCACACTCTTTTTGTCATCATTATAGAACTGATTGATCTGGTCAGTGAAAGGGAGAGCATAACTCATTTTCTCCCCAAGTGTAGACCTAAAATAAGTCCAACCACACCCTAGAAGTGCCTGTTCCCTTCTACTGGTATAAAGCAAATATGGGTTCACCAACATCTGAACTTCTACATCTAAGTGTAGCTGAGATGGAGTCTTCCCCAAGAGCAATCCATCGCAGTGATTTAAATATGAGTCACCAGCAGCTCTGGCCTTATTTCACCGACACTGGCTATTGATGTCTGAATAAACTCAATATGCGATTAGCTTCAGTCAAATTCTCTAAGCTTGATATAATTAGACACACTGGGCATAAGCCTGCTGCTGACAATGCACCTGTATAAAGGTGTTCCCCGATGGGTATTTATTTGTAATTAAAATAAGGAATGTAGATTTGGGATAGGACCCAATCTAGAAGATCATAATCTTCATGATAAAGATGTGTTTGGACCCCTCCGTGTGTTAGGAAAGTGAAGAGCATTGCTATTCTTTTGGGGGCTCTTGCATTTTTTAAACGCTTCCTTCCAGACAGTCTCCTGGCTGCCACTTAACTAACTGTTTTATTAATTGGATTTCGTTCAAGGTAAATCATGACTGAGAATTGTAAACAAAATGTCAGACCCCTGAATGAGCTAGTTCTTATAGGGACTGAACAGGGCAAACACAAAAATTGTGGCCTGATTTTCAACAATTGCAAGGTTAGCGTTGAGTCCTGCCTTCCAAGTCCATCAGAAGTTTTCTGGTTCTTCCTTCTCCTGAGCCAGAAAATGCTCAGAAACACTGTGGCAGAGAGAGACAGGCAGGACGGTGGTAGGAAATATGAGTTGTGGACTGTCTGTGTCTGCCCTGTAGACCCTCATCGTGTCCTATGAATGCTAGAGTTCCTTGTGCTGCTCGGGGTATCTGGAGACAAAAAAGCATCTGGAGGCTGTCCACTGAGCGCTGGGTGGAATAAAGAGGTTGGTGTGGTCCTGCTCTGCCATGTCACAGCCATCCTGGCTGGAAAGCTGGGAAGTTAGAAGAGCTCTGCCCTTTAACATTATGAAAATCCCAAGTAGATGATGAAGGGATGTGTCACGTTGCATTTCACCTTGAAACAAGGAAACAGGGAGTTTGTGTTTGAAGTTCTCACCATGCCTTTGTTCCACTTGGTTGCTTTGCTACCAAGGAACAAAGTATGATATTAAACAATGAGAGGTAGTCAGCGTCATAAGGAAAATCTGACCCAAAATGTGTGGAGTTGTACATATGTTGGGGAGGAGGGAAGGGTCATGTATATCCACAGAGGAATGCTTCCAAGGGTGTGTATTCACGTACTGTTAGGTCTGTCCCAAGCATGTGCTTTGCATGTATGCATTTGCATGTTTACACATACCAAAATAAGTTTTCTCTTTATTTGTGTATTCATGAGAAGGGCAATCTGCCAGTCTTCCCACACTGCAGGAATGTCCCCATCAGTACAGACACTCACCCTGTTGGTTTTCTGTGAGAAGCAGGTATAAATTCTGGTGTAAATTCACATTGCCACCCTGTTGGTTTTCTGTGAGAAGCAGGTGTAAATTCTGGTGTAAATTCACATCGTTGACCTGTGCCTGTTCATTCAGAAGCCTGGACCTCACATTCTGACATTGTGTTTCCTTCTTTTGCATTTAAGCTCAGCAGTAGCCTGTTGGCATCTTGTAGCATTTTTGGAGTCCAGAGCTGCTAGAGGGCAATACCACGTAAAAACAGGGAACAGGACAACCCTAAAACTTAGGAAACTGGAGGAAATATGAAGTGGTGAGAAAACAACAGACAGATGGCCGAGTCAGAGCAAGATCCAGAGGGTTATCCAACGTAGTACAGCAGTGGTTATTAGAGGATGCTTTAGGAAAAAGCACAAGAGCTGGGCAGCCTGATGAGGCAGTGGCAGAGGTTGCCCAGAGAAGTTGTGGATATGCCCACCCTGGAATCGTTCAAGGCCAGGCTGGATGAGACTTTGAGCAATCTGGTCTGGTGGAAGGTGTCCCTGCCCATTGTAGAGGGGTTGGAATAAGATGGGCTTTAAAGTCCCTTCCAACCAAATCATTCTGCAGCAGAGACTTCCTAAGCTAAGTATTTCTGTACAGAATTGGATTTATTGTCCAGGAAATGGTCCTGTGACCATCCACAGTATCCCACGACAAGCTTTCCACAGTTCAGCTGTAAGAGCAAAGAATCACTTCCTTCACTTTCCTTTGAGCCTATTTCATGCCAGCTTCACTTGATAACCCCTAGTTGTTCCTCTGGAAAAGTCTATGGATAGTGGATCTGCATCTATCTACAGATAAAACCCTTTCAGCGAAGTAGCCTAGGATTTACCATGGTGCTATCATAATCATCTCTGAAAAGGTCATCAGTGGTGGAGAGTCACTCGGGATATGGAGAGAGACTACAGCAGGAACACAGGAAAAGCAGAAACATGGACAAAGGGCATTTGCAGCCTTGTGGTGAGGGCAGAGGTCCTAAAGGTGGGGCTGGTGAAGAGGGAAGGTGGAGGAGGAAAGAGCAAGAATCTACATGCTCTACAAATTTATTTTCTTGGAGTTATGAGTCAGTCTCTTTCATGGACTTCACAAACACTCAAAACCATAAGACAGAGACTAAACCAGTGCTCTTTGTATTTGCTTCAGTTTTGTGTTCTTTGTCTCTTTCAGGTTGAATTCACCCCTGATCAGATTGAAGGTGAGGAAGATGTGTTTCTCTTCTGTGCACAGTAAATACTGTCACTGGGAAGTGCTGGCAAGTGCTGAGGTGAACACAGGTGTGGTATCGGAGCTACCTTGAGAAGGCTGTGCTTTAATTCATGGCTTTACTCCTGCTCCGTCCCTCCTCCAAATCCTCTGTTGAGGTGGTCCAAAGAAAAGAGGGAAAGTCATGCACCATGCAAAGTAGCTACTTATTTCATTAAAGAAAACATGAGCTCCACTGCCAATGAGTCAAAACCAAAAAAAGAAAAAAAAAAAAAACACCACCACACCCCCAAAACCTCAGTCCAAATATATGTTCTTTCTTTAAGAAAACCCACTAGTAAAATATCAATCCTTTCAAGAGAAAGTCTCCCAACTCTGCTTTTGAGAATGTTTCCCTGTATTCAATCAGAATTTAATGTGTTACAGTTTTCTGACAGCTCTCCAGAAACCAGCAAATAATGACAGTGATGGCATTCTTTTCTTTCAAAGCAAAACACCAGCATTCATTTCCGAAACCTTTGTCCCAGCCCAAGAAACTGATACTAAAACCTCATGCATGCAATCCTGGGAACACTACCACTGCAGCTGTCCTCTTTTTCCTCAACTACCAGCTTGCTTTTTACTTAAAGGATAATTGATAGATGGAGTAAAAAATCTGGCAGAATTTAGCTTTGGTCTTTAAATACTTGGCACAACTTGGTAGAGCATATGAAAGACAGTATCAAAAAATGAGTTGATTAGAACAGATTAAAAAAAATAATGACACAGGCTATCTGATCAGGTGGATTCAGAGAGGAGAGATACTGAAGGAAGGATTTTCTGAACTGGAACTAAATGCCATAATATCTTAGAGACTGAGGCTTTGCCACAGACTTCCAACATTACCTTGCGATTTTCAAGACCCCCTTAATGGGTTTAATTTCTGTTTTCTAACAACAGGTCGAACGTAACTCATGATTTGAGGCAACCGTTAATTTCTGGGAACCTGTCCCTTTTCTAGTCCCAAAGTCATGGGAGAACTGTCAGAGAGGCACAAACATGTGAACTCTTCCAGCAGCATACAACAGCTGGATCTCTCATCAGCTAATGTTTTGGGGATCAGATGGGACCCACCTAGTTTCTATACCTTGTTTTCTTGAGAAGAACTAGCTCTAGAGACTATATTAGAGAATAGGAAAAGCAAAGACCTCTTCAGGAAAAAACGGGTTGCTCGTCTGGCCATCAACCCACTGGAATGGTTAGGAAATGCAAACTCAGGGATACCGTAAAAGGTAGCACGTCTAAAGCAGATGTAGACCATCTCTAGAAACAGAAAGTTGCTTCTTCTTTCTTCTTTTCTTCTTACAGCTGCCTTTTGGTCTAGCTGTACTCACTGTATACACAGAGAAAAGCTGGGAATCCAGGACTTGTGAAATAGGATGTCCTTGAAATATCAAAGGGAAAGCTACGGGGCAGGAAGCGCATAGCATCATCTGTGTGAGAAAGGCTATGAGACCTCTATGCATGTCAGCTACAACAGCATAACGGAGTTATACTGTGTGTTAGCACTGGGGAGAAACAGGAAATCCACTCAAGGTTAATCCCACAGTTGGTTCACGGATTCTGCCGTGAGTTGCTGGAAGAAGTGCCTGATGGCCTGAACATCTCCTGGGGACTGAGCAGAAAAACACTGCTCATCAGTCAGCTCCTCAGTTCCTTTCCTCCTGACCTCTTCTGGTTTTGTTTTGTTTTGGTTTGGTTTGGTTTTTTTCTCTCCTCTCCTTCACCTGACCTTTAAAAGGTTCTTAGGTTTATAGATGAGTAGGCAAACAGTTTGACAGTTGCTAAATAGGTATTTACTCCTAGGTAGAGCTTAGATGCTTCAGGGGTAGAATTATATCTATAGTGTGGTCCATAGCTGTCCCTGGATTGTTCCTGGCATGCGCTGTTCTCAGTACTAGTTTGCACAGGTCAAAATCTTGCCAAGATTCATGCCATTAGTTTAAGAAAGTGGACAATCAGTATTCTAGTGCTTGAGACTGTTTTATTTTGTGTTAAAAGCACAGGTTAGAAAGCAAGCACCGTTTGCCATGATTTATAGCTGTTACACTGGCTGTTGGCATCAGTTGAGAGTTGGGACTCACAGGATCTCTAGATTAATTTGTCTTTTTGATTTGTTTTCTCCTTCCCATTCTCTCCTCAGTTTCTCAAGCTTCCAAGACTGCCAGCACTCCCTTTCTTCAGGGTTTCAGTCACAATTGTTCTGATCTGGTTTGTTTTCAGCTCTGCACTGCACTGTTAATTGTCTCAAATTTCGTCTTTTAGGAAGTCATCAGAAGGTCAAGGTCACCTTTATATGTGTTTTTAAAAATAGAGACCTCTGACGTATAATAATAATCTCTCTTTCTCTCTATTTATTGACCAGATGAGGACCTAGGTGTCTCATTGAGACCAAGTTCTTCCCCATTTGTCGGCTGAAACTAAATCAGTAGAAAGCCCATCCTATGTGTTAGATATTACTGGCTGTCAGTCAATCACCATTGACCAAACTGATTTTCTGGCAGCTGATTCTGCATTGAGGTGGCGGAGGAGAAACAGACAAAGTTTCAAGATCTTTTCCAGCCTTATCTTCTAGGACACTGTGAACCTCTTCCTCTTGCTAGGGAAAAGACTTTGTTGCACCAGACTTACTTCCCTGCAGGATTCATTATTATGCTAGCCCCCAAAATGTTACTCTTGGAAAAAGAATGATCTGTGGGTGAAACCATGTGTAACACACCCATCTTTACATGTCCTCCTGCCTCAGCTGTGATTAAAATTCATTGGTTGTGGCAATGTGTATTTATAAAGCTGAATTTCTGGCCTGAAATTGCTGAAAAGAGAAGAATATGAGCTATTCAAGATGAGAAGACAGGTAGCAATTAGGCATATGAAAATATACACTGCTCCTGCCAGTGGTTTAATGGCTAGCAGGAGGACAAAGGAGACCATAGCCATGTTGGTTTCACTGCTTAGTTGGAAACTTGCATTAAGCCAGCAAATGAAAAAAAAAAAACAAACCAGGCTGCTTGTATATATTGACAAATGGTGTTTCCAAACTCACAGACCAGTGCTCTGGTGAGAGGCAGTTACATCTGATTTTAAATTAAAAAAAAAAAAAAAGAGAGAGAGAGAGAAATGTGACATGTCCGTAACTATGATGAATTGTGAACCTTTAGGAGGTGGTGCAAAGGGTGCTCAGGCAATTGGTCTCAGAGAGCAGGTAAGCAGTGGGTGGATGAGTAGCTCAGGGAGGTAGATGTATTTCTGAGCCACCTCAGCTGCTGAGACCCCCAGGGAAGGACAGAGGTGGGAGTGGGTCTCTGGTCCCCTTCCACTGTCAACAAGGAGCCCACGAAAATCCACGATTGCCCTCTGCTGGAGTGAGATCTGCCAATGGGATCTGGGCTCTGGATGGTGACAGAGGAGGCAAAGATCCAGGAGAGAGAGGCAGGGAGAGAGAGAAAGAGAGAGCAAAGAGGAGAACGCAAAGAAGAAAACAAGGAGAGTGTTTGTTAGTCCAAAAGGAGAAGAGGCATCATAGTTTGAAATTGTTGCATGAAGAAGGAAATTAGTAAGATATGAGTGGAGTGATAAAAATGAAAAGGGAGGGAGAAAGGAGGAGAGGCAAACCCAGCAACATTAGAAGAAGGAAGGAGAGAGGGAAATAAGCAAAGGAGAAGAAACAAAAAAGAGGTAGGTGGAATAATGAGGAGGAGAAGGAATTGATTAGCGAAAGATGGAGAAAATCTGACATGCAGAGTGCATGACTGAATGATCGAATGAGCCAGGGGAAAAAAGATAGCCTCATTGTGTTTGAAGAGTGAGAGGGAAACATATAGAGAACAGTAACATCCGGACAAAGGGTAGATTCAGGGATTCACAGCTTTAAAGCCAAAGGGATATTTGTCATCACTCGTAGACCGTGCACTGTGCAGTGTGTTCAGCAAAGGATAACATCCTATTACTGTTGCTTGTGCCCTGAGGTGCTCCTCTACCTCTGCAATGTGTCTGCAACTCTAGTAGGGAGAAGTGAACCTGAGAAACTAGTGTGTCTGGGGAGTCTCCCCTGGGATCCTGCACTGACCCCATTAATCAGAATCATAGAATTACAGAATCATTTAGGTTGGAAAAGACCTTTAAATTCATTGAATTCAGCCATTAACCTAATACGGCCAAGTCCACCACTAAACCATGTCCCTAAGTACCACATCTGCATGTAATTAGTGACAGAACAGGGACCCTGTCCCATGGGAACGCTTTTGTCAAGATATTGCTGCTTGCTGTGGTAATGGACTCCCTGTTCGACCAGAAGTAAGGAGAAAACATGAGGATACGTTCACAAGGATGTAGTGGAGGGAGTTGGCTGTCCTGCAAGGAGAAGGGCTCTGCATGGGTGCACAGGGGAAAGCAGGCAGATGTGAAACCACTGGAGGGAAAGATTGCATCTCCAAATATGAGATCTGACCTGCTATCAGTAGCTGATGGCATACCAAACCTTACTTCTCCAGATGCAATTTGACTGGGTGCTAAAAAAAAGAAAAATCGGAAGATTCTTCTAGATCTGCTCCTTGACATTATTAAATACAACAATTGATCATTTATAAGGTTTTCCATATACCTTCACCCTCTCCCACCAATAGGCTGTTTGTTGCGTGATAATTCCAGTAGGTTATCATGGCGTATCTTGTTACCTGCTAATAGAGGTGCTCCTTTATCTCAGTGGGCTGCTTCAGTGCTCTCTGAGTGCATAATGCTGAATACAATATCCAGTTAGCTAATGAGCAGAACTACTATTGAATTCTGTGCCATCCTGAGTGCTCCTGATGAGCTGGAAAGCTCTCAAGGCCAACCGTTTCTATAAGGTCTTCTGCACTTCCCGCTGTTAGCTGAGACGGAAATACCATGAGAAGAGCTTTTGACCTCTGCGATTCCATTCCCTGATTGAACCGGAGAATGCAGGGGAGGAGGAACACAAACATTGCAGATAGCAGCAACAGCAAAGCTCATCAAATTCATTCCCAAACTGCAAAATAAAAGGGTCAGGCAGAGTTAGTTAGGGGGAAGGTCTAGGCTTGCTTTGACTTTATCTGAGGGAGCACGACATGCGTTTCTCTTTATCTTTTTGTCTTCCAGAATTTAAGGAAGCGTTCTCACTCTTTGACCGGACTCCTAAATCTGAGATGAAAATCACATATGCACAATGTGGAGATGTCTTGAGAGCTTTGGGGCAGAATCCAACCCAGGCTGAGGTCATGAAAGTGCTTGGTAGACCCAAACCAGAAGGTTGGTGTCCTCTGTTTTTGTTTTGAAGAAGATCACTCAAAAGAATTGTTTGTGAAGCAGATGAGGTCTCCATTTTCTGATGGAAAAATTAATTGTGAAATAACAAAGGATATAGAACAGCCTCTGCAAATCACTAGCAGAAAAGTAAATGGGAAAAAAGCAATCTTGCAGTCAATATATTTGTCTCAAATTTAGGAGAATGAATTAATTTAGTGGCCCTGTGTGTCAATGTGTTTTACAATGACAAGTTTTTGCCTTTTAAAATTGCTTTGATGACAAGCATTCACATGTGTTTACGAAAAACACAGACATTGTGATGACATCCAAAAAAGCAAAGGGATAGACTGTGAAAACAGTGTTTGCTCTACAAAGTATGTGTTAGAAGGTCTGTAACGATTGTAGTAATATCTCCCTTCAACATTCGCCATGCACTGGCTATCTCTTCAGAACAAAGGAAATCTCTCTCAAACTATATCTACTTTCAGGCATTTTCTAGACTACTTCTCTATCCTTTCCTTCCACTGAGGTGGAATTGACAATTAGACCCTCATTCAACAACAATGATATGCCAGGATATGGCCATGACACAGTGGCAGGTAGGACAAGGAGTCATATGGGAATAAAATACCCTCTAATGCTCTTGGAAGGCAAAAAATCAGGAAAATGGGTTACACATACTCTCCCAGTATGGTTTTAAACATCTCTGCATTATAGGGATGCAAAGCAGAGCTGATTTCATACTGGGAATGAGCTTCTTTTACTGTCTTCTGCTTAGTTTCATGCCTATGCTGCATGAAATAGCCTTGGGTCTCCAACAGTATTTTTTTTCTTGATGTTTCTGTGTGTCAAATGCTAGGAGGTATCTATCTATCTATCTATCTATTAGAAGCTCATATTTCTCTCTTTGCCAGACCTCTTTCCCACTCTGACTATCCATTCTTCCATCTGTACTTATGATAATTCTATGGTCTTCTCTCCCCTTTAGCTGACATTTATTGCCACAGTTCTTCTACCCTCATCACCTACCCATGGTGGATGCCCCATAGTTAGGCCTCAGCTCTCCCAGAATCCACCAAAACTTTCATTTCCATCTTGTCTTTATAGAAATGAACTCCAAGATGATTGACTTTGAAACCTTCCTGCCCATGCTCCAGCATATTGCCAAGACGAAAGACACAGGCACCTATGAGGACTTCGTGGAGGGTCTACGCGTGTTCGACAAGGAGGGAAATGGAACGGTGATGGGGGCTGAACTCCGCCATGTTTTGGCTACGCTGGGTAAGTTGAACCTTTCCTCAGGCAGTTGCATCGCTGAGGTCTTTCCTTTACAGCTTGTATCATTTGTGGAGAAAATGACTGGGCAAGACTTCAGCTATCATGTTGTCCTTGGTTATAAAGACAAAAAATGTTCTTTAATATTGAATCTAAAAATCACTGACCTACAGCTCCGATATTTGTCTTTCCTCCTTCCTTCCCTCCCTCTGCCTGCCCTTTCTTCCTTCTTTGTTCTAGTGTTTTATTTCTGCAATAAATATATTTCTATCACCACAAAATTACCCAAACATTGGCAACCCCATCTATTCCTTCAATACTTGTGTCCATTTTTCTGCACCTTCAAGAAAAGTTTTAAGACGAAGCTCTTCTTTATCAATCATCTGCTTAACAGAACTGTCTCTGAAATGGAAAGTGTGTATTTTTAAAGGAGGCATCAACATTTGTCTGTCTTCTCAAATTTTTACTTCAGAAGCTCATTTTTTCACAGAAAGTGATGACAACAGAATGAGAGCAGGACAGAAAATTTGACTATAACTTAATGACAGGTTTGCAATTTGGATTAGAAGGCACTGACATGTTGTCATCTGAATCCAGTAAGCATTTCTCAAGATCAGCCTTTTCCACTAGTGTTTGTCCACTATTTTAAAAAAAGGATGAGCCTTTACAAAAGAGATTTGATTTAGATCAAAGGATTCCAGTGATGGGTTTTGACCTGGGATATCAATTCAAGAAGCCAAACCTTTTATGCCCAGGGGTTTTCATTCAATGACACATCCATGTCTATTAATGACACAGGGAATAAGAAAAGAAAGCAATGCTGTTTTCTTTTTTATCACTCATGCTATTTGATCAGTTTGGGGACGAAATTCAGTGATGACAAAAAACCCCACAGGGTCAGGACTGATGCCCTGTCTAACCTTACCTGGGACAAAGAAACCATGGTGGGCAGTTTTGTGAGTTTCACAGTACTACAAGAAATGCTTTTGTACTTACCCTTCTACTTCCAGTAACCCAGAACAATGTGGCAATATCTGATTTTCAAGCACCAATAGGAAGTATTTCCATCTCAAAAATTAACAGTTCTGCTTTTGAATGGCATCTCTAAACACCAGGCAAATCCTAGGCACAGCAAATATCGTGTAAATTAGCATGCTTTTCTGTTCAATTTTCAAAAAAATCAGTTGAATTTTCACAGGTTCACATCAGCTGAGGACTTGTTCCTGTGTGCCAGAACTCAGTGATGGAAAAGTGGAACAACATGAGTAGCAGGGCACACCCAGTGCATTTTATTTTATTTTATTTTCATTTTTATGATTTCAGCTGAAATCACCCTCAAATTTCTTGTTCACTTTTCTGGAACTCATTTGATCTCGTCCTAAAATCAGAGCCTAATATGAGAATAAGGGGATGGATTGGGTTGACCTCTGCTTAACCAAAATGAAGACTTACAGGCAAATAGGCACCTGATATTTAGATAATTAAATTAAATTGAATGGATCACTGATCCAAATCAGAGATCCTAATTTTGACCTTGAAATGTTCCTGAACTCAGAGGCAAAATAGAGGGTGACTCTACTAAGAGTTTGCTTAGTGAAGGCTTGGTTAAAAAGTGACTAAAACCTTCAAGATTTGGCACTTAGAGAAAGTTTATTCTTAGAAGAATGACTATGTGAACATGATATCATGTGGGTTTCCATATTTATTCTGTCTCTCTGGTTTTCAGATCAAATTTTCTCATTTTGCAAGTACAAAAGTAGCTTTCCTAGCAGTCAACACCACAAATTAAACTAAAGAGAAAATCTCTCTCTCTTCTCTCTCAATTGTCTTTTGTATTCTTTGATCCTTTGAACTGTGCTTCATAAATTCTTTAAAAATGGCCCAGGTACTGAACAGGCATTTTGCTTTCCACCCAGGTGAGAGATTGACTGAAGAGGAAGTTGATAAGCTAATGGCTGGTCAGGAAGATGCCAATGGCTGTATCAACTATGAAGGTAGGTATGACCACTCACTCTGGTCTGAGCACTGCTCATGTGCTTGAAGGTTTTGTTGCAACTGACCTGAGAAAGTTAAAATCTGTGGAAGATCTGAAGTAGGATGTATGCTTTATTAAATTTTAGACCAATTCAGATTCTGTAATTCATCCGATATACCCTATCTGTTGAAGGTTACTTGCATTTTCCATAGCTGAATGGCCATGGCCTGTTCAGGGAGTGGGGTGGTATATTCTTATTTTGTTTGCCCTTTTTAAAAAAATGTTTACACTATTTTTTCTACCAGCTCCAACACTTCCTTGTCCTCTCGAAAAGAGATACACATCTCTTTTGAGATTTCATTAAAGAAAAATGCTAAATTTTCCTTCAAAAATTCAGCAAAAAAATGTTATCCTTAGCATCTTCTTTTGTGTCCTAAGAATCCTACAAGACCTTCCAAAGACCTTCCATTTTATTTCATTGCTATTGTGGAAAGCCAGAATATAAAGATTTGGTCATGAGTACGTGGACCATGGCGCTCTCCCACATCTTGCAAGTCTACATGCTTCAGGCTGTTCAATAAAACCACAATGTTCTAGTAGGGATCACGAACACACTCTTTTGTACGCAGCTGAGTCCTTCTAAAGGTTAACTGGTGATTGACCATTGTACCATCATCATTATTTAGCTGGTCTGTCATATTCACTGAGCCTTTCATGAATATTTGTGTTGGTGGTCTCCTTCTATTTACAAATACCAGTGTTCTGAGCCCAGGGAAACATTTCTTATGTGTAGTTTATTGGTAGAGATCTGTAGATTTAGCCAACCATATGACTCATGAACTTATGCTGAATTCAGAGAAATTCATAGCATGGGAAGATTATTGTGAAGGAAAAAATACTTCCTTATTGCAAAATGTATTTCTCCTTTTCCTTTTGAATTTCAAAACTACATATGAAGAATGTTTTTTTAATGGAAAAAAAAATGGAAACCAATACTTTTTGAAACAAAAGCTTGATTTGATTTTGAAATACCTTGTTTATTTGAAAACCTGAGTTCACTGGAGGGATATAGTCATGTTACCTGACTTGGTGACCTGGGGATTCTGGAGGTTCACTCCAGAGGCACCTTCAGTGCCTACTGACGTAGTATAAATGTGCTGAAGTCTTGAAAGCCTTGCAAGATGAGGACCCAGAGTTTCTCATGACTGTATGCTTTTTGAAAGTTGCATATGGCAGTGAGGGGTAAGGGATTAAGCAAGCTACGGATTGATTGATCTGTGTGTTCATTTCCAGTGGTTACCTAGACTGCTGGCTACACTGTGTTCTATATATATTATCTTAAGGACTTACAAAGAATTTAGCATCTGATATCTGGAATCTTATTTACAAAGTGATATAGTCTTCGTTGCATCAGAGGAAGCAAGAAGAGTGAATTTAAATAACAACTAAGCTGAGATACCCAGAATGTTACTGAGTTCAATGAAAAGGAGTTGATAAATGACCCTTCTCTTTCTCTTGTTTCCAGCTTTTGTGAAACATATCATGGCTAACTGAATGCCAGGTGAGTCTCTTCTGTCCTCCTTGCATATCCTGTTATTTTGGTTTTGGCATCTGAGATAGGCTTGAAGAATGTGTAAGGGGTTAATCAAAGAGAGTGAATATTTTCAGCATGGTGTATAAGGAAGTAGGACAAGAATGAGTAAAATATTATCTTCATCCTATCGAGTGCACAGAAAATTGGTGACCTTTCTGTAATTGTCTGGTAAATCTGGACACCTTTATTTTAGAAGTCCAACATAATATATCCTAAAAGGATTTAATTTCCAAAGAAAAGTCTCATTCCTTTATAATTGATTGGAAACTCCAATGGATGCATATTTTTCACGTCCACTTACAAGTGCCTGCTCCTAGAATTCTTCTAAAAATGCAAGGAGATAGAACTGAGCTGACTAGAGAAAGAGTGAGCAACAATACAAGGAAAAGTAGATAAGAAGGAGTAACGCATGCTTATGTGGCTGAACCTATACTAGGCGGATAATTGTTGACCTTCCATAAACCTGGCTCCCAGCATCTCCTAGCAAATGGGTTGATTTTCCAGGAAAAGGCATGAGCTTTGTCCAGGACATCTTCTGGCTTTATTCAGTAGTGTTCTCCAAACCACAGTACCATTAAGGGTATCTCTGTCTCGCCATTGCAAATGAGCTGAACTTCATTTCCAGTATTTCCTGGTCATCACTTATTTTTGTATTCCTGGAAAAGGTACCCACTGTTTTCAATTGGCATTCACCACTATTTATCTCTCTTCAGCTCTTGGGAAAGGTCTGACCTGAGAGTTAACCAACTTCATCTATTCTGCAAAGTATCTGATAAACTGGGAAAAGCAGTGGCTTCTTTCAGATTTGTTCTGGTTGTTTTGGATATTGTTTGGTTTTCTTTTTTTTTTTTTTTTTTCCTGCTTTCGTTTATTTTTCTACTGTCTCCTCACCAGGCCTGGCTTTGTTTTGCTTTTGGAACTAACAATATTGCAGCCCACTGAGACCTGTCTGTCGTGTGGTGACTTTTGACTATGTTCACTGGCACCCCAGGGAGGGAGTTAAGTAGGAGTCACATCCAGGTTTTGGGGACTTTTGTTCCAAGACATAATTCAGCAAAAAAAAAGATGATTGGGTTTCTTTTCTTATTGTGACCCAGTTTTCTTTCTTAAAGGCATTTCTCTTCTCTGAACATACACTTAGTTTTCCAACAGTTTTTGATTCCAAAGACCTGGATAGGCCCACAGTCATAGTGGGTGATCCCACAGCTAGCGTGATCCTTACAGGTTGTTTAGAAATGTTTTCAATCCTTAATCCTATCCTAAACCCATTGCCATGGGAAATTCCTATTCCGATGCCAAAAGTCTTTCTAGTCACCTAAAGTGAGCAGTGGTAAGCTGTAAAGCTGGCACAGGGCTGGGAGCTGCAGCACGGAGGTCAGCAAGGGTGTCTTTGCTTATGATGGTTTTGGAAAGGGAGCTGAGAGATCCTGACTCCCAGAGAACCAGTGTGCCACGGATTTGCCAATGAGCCATGATGGGCGTCATTCAGTGATGGCATCTGCCACTCCCTGCTCTGTTGTTGTTGGTGTGTTTAGGGAAAGCCGAATGTAGTCTTTACCCTTGAAAGGGTGATGGCCCTTTGCCATAGAGCATATAACAAACAGATCCCAAAACACTGGATTTCAACTCAGTGGGAATCTGGATCTCAGTTCAAAAATAAAGCAGTGGCTCGTGTTTCTTGGACATTCCCATATGCTGGACGAAAGCTAGAGCAGTATCCCAAAATAAGAATTGAACTGTGTCTTTCCTTTTCTCTTTATTTTCTGAGCATAGTTGTTGTGAGTACTCTGTATTGGCTTGTCTTATATACAGCCTCTAAACTGGCTTGTTCCCAGGTGCTACGTACTATTTATAACACAAACAATTACATCTTCAGTTAATGACTCTTCTAGTTTTTTTCAAAACACCCCCTCACCCAGGTCAAATGTTCTGCAGGATTATAGCCACCTAGCCTTCCTTCCCAGTAGGCGTTGCTGTAGAAAACACTCCCGACTGGCTACACATCTACTCCTTATGCTATTCAGTGGGAAAGACATGAGTGGCAGGACCCATTAAGCTTTCTCACATATCTAGAAAGCACTATACCCTACTTGTGGTCCAGTGACCACTGCAGGGTGGTGGTGGGGGGTGGGATATGTGCAGCGGGCTACAGAGACTCCCTGTGAAGGCAATGCACACAACTCTCCCCCTGCCCTGTGACTGAATGCGTGATGAGCAGAGTCAACCTTATCTCATGGTCTATCTCTTGGGTGCACATACATTCATGGAAGTTGATCAAACAGCCCAAAATGCTGGGAAAGAACATCTTTGGGAGCAAGTCGGATGTTGTCAGAGTTGTTTGGATACCTACTTCTTTAATGCAAACATTGTTAAAACCACCCTATTTAACTTTAAAGATAGAAGTTCCAGTATAGAGCAGTACAGCTGGAGAGACGGTCCATAGTGTGTACACACAAGCTCAATTCAGAGTCCCACATGTAGGTTCATGGTGTTGTGTGAGTTGCCTCGAGTGTCTCCTGTACCCATGGCCTCACAGATGGGATGCAGAACCCATGGCAGACTTGTGCTTTCTGGCAGTTGGTGGCCAGGCAGGGTACTCTAGGACATCTCAGGTGGCTCTAGGTGCTGAGGTGTGGGGAAGTGAATTGAGCTCTGTGGTTTGAACTCATGTGACTGTAGGTGAAATCCTAGAATATGCCTTCAGTATTTGACTGGCTGGCGTAGTCTTCCTTGGCTCCCATCAGATTAAGACGCCTACCAGTAGGTGTCTTCATGAAAGCAGGGTATCTCTGTTTCCAGACGTAAAGGAGATCCAGTTACTCGGAGCATGCAGAGGGATTCATCTCATCCGAAGAAGGGGCACAGATGCAGTGAGTCCAACTGCCAACGTTGAGAATGACAAATCTCCCATTAACACTCTGTCATATTTGCCATCTGTATGGGAATGTTCTGAATGCTTTGGGGCTCTGAAACTGCATCAGATGGTTATGATTCAGGAACTGAATCCTGCCTGAAATCTAGATGCTAGCTAAGAGAAATCCTTGTGCTCAAATGCTGTTGATGGGAGACTGACTACAGATAATAGAGGGATAACAGGAGGAGGAGAAACTGTCTGGTCATTCAGGAACCGGACTGTTTCTCCGGAAAGCTGAGTCTTTATTCTGACTTCATGTCTGACATGGCTATACTGCCTCTCCATGTCACTGCTTCCCATGTTTTCTCCATCGTGTACTCTTTCACTGTAAGATTGTGGGGTTGGGAGTGACTAAGCGTATTTTGTCATGTTGTGCGATTGCTCTTTGATGTCATTTGGCATCTATATAGTGCAGAGATACTCAGCTGCAGGCCTTGCTGCCAATAAGCTGAGTATAGATGCATTAGGATGACTGAGGCTGATTCCTGGTGGCATTGTTTGTTTCTTCTTTCTTCCTCTAATGCTTAAAAATAACTTTATTTTTAGGACAAGATAGATGCTGAGAGCCCCAGATGCTGGCCTTGAATTTCAATGTAATGGAATATCTTCTCATTTTTCAGCCCAGATTGCTATTACAGAGCTACAAAATGTGCTGTCCCTAAAGTTATTTGGATAAAAGTTTTTTTGTTTGTTTTGTCTTGTTTCTTCATGGGAAGAGGGTGACCTCTGTGGAGATTCAATACACTCAGGAAACTGAAGAAGCTGGAATGTGAACTATGAATACCTGGGCATTGTCATTTTTTTCTGATACAGAATATAAACAGCAATACAGAATTGTTAAGCAAGAGGGTGAAAAAAGGGAGTGATTTTTTTCATGATTAAATCAATCAAAAACTGTATGTGTCATTTAGCCATATCCTTCCTTCTCCTTCCCTCTTCCTTTCAAAAAAACCTGGATCTTTCTCTTTGTGTTTATTGCATTTGTAAAAAAATATCTGTAAGAGAGTAAGGGAGAAAAGAAATTAAACCAGTGGTATAAATCTCATGTATGCAAGGAATACTGTTAGTTTTATAGAAAAACAATAAAAGTAGAATGCCCAGCAACCAGCAACAAACACAAACTTGTTCACATGTTTCTCAGCTTTGGAAGATATCACCGTTAATGTATAAGATGTAAAAGAAAAAAACCAAACCAAACCAAAACAAAACACAATGTTTGCTAAAATGCGTCTCTTCTCCACAAGGATTACTTCCCATTCCAACAGTCTAACCTACAAAACAAGTAAAACATCTTTCCCAATGCAAACTGGAAATTGTTCAAATATACATATCTTGATCCTGTAGCTTTTTGCAGTAAAACATGGGATTCTTTGTCACCTGTTTTCTTCATTGTTTCTACATCTGTATGAGGGAAGGGGAAATGGGAAATAAATGCTCTTGGGAAAAAATCTCAGTAGAGGCAAAGGAAAGGTGAGAAGCATGAAAAAGCACACCGATTAAGTTGGCTCATTTTCTGGGGAATAATTTTAAAAGTAAAAAAAAAAAGATATATCCCTCAGCGGTGGAAAAAGGAGAAGCTAGGGGCTGGTACAGTTTGTTAGGAAATACCAAAAAATGTGAGTATGCAACACTCCATTTAAGCAAGAGGTATTGTTAAAATGGACAACTTGGAAATTTAGTGGAGGAAAGATAATCAGTGGAACATTGGAATAACAGGATTCGAACTGCATAGCAATGACTGAATAGGTCATCCCCACAGAGAAGAATTGCTGTGAACGAGAGAACACAAACTATCAAATTACGTGAATACACAAGCTGTAACAAAATGTGCCATAATAGAATAGTCATAATAGAAAATCAGCAGATAGAGCGCTAAATGTAGTATCAAACTGATGGCAGAAACAATAAAATGCTAACGGAAATTTAAAAATCTAGTGCAGAGAGAGGAGTAGAAAGATGTTAATAATGATGGGAATGTCTTATATCCAGCCTCGGTTAACTGTACACAAAGGTGCAAATAAGTGGCAAAAAAATTGTCACCGAGAATGATTGGTTTTCAAGAAATCACCTCTGAAGCATCTGTCGTGAATAAAACCATATTTTGAACGGGCCATTGCTAAAGGCAGGGGATTAGCAGCTAGGTCTGCTCTAGTGTTCTGGAGATGGACACCAGAGATAGTCACCACCAGTGGTCCATCTCCTCCTCAGGGCTCCTTTTGTGGGCATCCACTTCCACTCTCAGCATCGTCTCCTGTGATTTCCTAGGGCTTATTTTACCATGGAACAAAGACCATTTCATACACTAATTGCCTTAACTGTCTTGTAAATATGTATTTAGACCCTAATGATAGCTTAATGTTGTTTTGAATCAAAAGTGTAGAGTAGTTGAAAAATGCAGTTCTTTCTCCCTTTTATGAATCACTTGGGAATGTCTCCTGTCTTCTGCAATACTCTTACAAGGGTATCTCTAGTTTAAAGACCCCTTGAGCTCTAGGACTCATACAGCTGAGGAGCACTGTGAGGGCTCAGTACAGAAACACTCTGCTAGCAGGTACCATCTGACTACCTCCTTGTTTTCCTCCATCCCTTGTTGTTCTGTCACTAAAGCTCATCTTTAAATTGGGCTATTCCCATCACACAATGGCCTAGTCTAGGGTCAAACATGTCAAAATTTCCATCAAAATCAAAGCACATTTGTTTGTTCTGACTTCTTTTCAGAGAGATTTAGTTACCACATGAGGTGGAGCTTAGGTGGAGAAGAAATTGTAATTGCTCCAGTTGGTCATCAGCTGCTTTCATCCTCAACTGCTAAACAAAAAATCACCACCCTGCCGCTACTCAGACTCCCGGTAAGGGGTCACCTTGAGGTATTTTATCTAAATCTTGTCTAATATTTCACCATACATTCCCTAAACAACATCTATCCTCACCCACAGATGAAGGTGAGCCTTTCATATGGGTATACTGGTGGCATTCACCCATCTAAGTGCAGATACCTGTAGAGTTGATGTCTCCATCTGTCCTAGGCTTCAATACTTGTCTTATTGGCACAGATGGTATCTGTACGATGAGGATTAGACATTATTACTGGTTTTGTCAATGTTTTTGTTGTTGCTGTTACTAAAATCACAGTCTAAACACGCTCATCACATGAATCCAGCAGCTGGGACTTACATGAGGCTCACAGATATTTCTCGAAAACTTGAAGGGCTGATAGTGCTGCAAGTAACCAAACAAGTCCTTTGATGGAGCAACATGAGAGGCAAAGACCAACAGGCCAAGCACAACTACATGAGTTGATGTGCACCAGCGAAGAGTGAAAGACAAGAGGATTGTCAAAGTGCAGTGTATGGGGCAAGCTGGGCTCACCAATGGCCCAGTGAAGCAGAAGAGAATAAAATAACAGCTGGTGTTTCATCCCAAGTGCATTGGCAGGGCTCTTTGAGGAAGGATCCACAGGCCAGTCCAAGATGCATAAGCAAAGCTGTGTGTGGGAGAAGGCTGGAATTGTGCCTATTGCCTTCCGTGTCTCAGGACATGCTATCACTGAATTTAGTTTTCATCAGCACAAGATTCACTCACAAGCAAACCAGAATAAATAAGAAATATCTCCCCCTTCCCTTCCCCACCTTCTCTCCCTTACCCCTAACCCCAAATTAAAAAAAAAAAAAAAAAAAAACAAACCACCAAAATCTCCTATCTAGAGAATATTTCTTTAAAAAGAGATGTGGGCAGGATACATGCCAAGTTTCTGGAAGATCTTTTTATAGCAGTAGCATCTGGTTCTTTGGGAGACTCCATAGGGAGTTTTGTTGGTGACTTTACATCTGCTGTGGTTAAGCTGCTAATGGACTGGCTGTCTGGGCTGCTGCCTGCTCCACTGATTTCTTAGTACCAGGCTTTGGTTATTTGAGGAGTTTGAGCCTATTGAGTCCTTGCCAGAATTACATAGCGCGTTCCAGTAGTAACTCACATTGCGACACCCAGTCATGCAGAAGGGGTTTCAGATGGAGCAAGGATATTGGCTGGCATTTCATTGCCCTCTCCGTAAACCCACCCAAACCTGGATTAGAGCAGAGGGTGAAGCATGCATTTTTTTGATCTGGAAGCCAAAAGCAAAGTGAATGCTGTAATATTTTTTTCAGTGAGGTCCACAAGTGAATAAACAAGTAAATACATCAATAATTTAATCTGGAGGTCAATTAAAAATACTTTGCCCCTGGTGATATATTCCAGATCATTTTTTTACTTATTCATCAGTCTAAAAGCTATTTTTTAACCTCAACTAATTAATTACTGTTTTGGAGTGAAAAATGAAAATGCATCCATCTGCATCATTTTGAAATGAAACATTTTATTTTTTCAACATTTTCTTCTATGAGCAGAGTTATTTTTTTTCAGCCAAACCTGTTGCCAAAATTACACCTGATTTTAAACATTAATTTTCTCCATAATGCCATTCCCTAAAGAATCTGCAAATTTTCCCAGAATTGGTTTCAGGATTCATTTTTCTTCACTGACCCATTTGATTTTTCATAGCTTTTGCTGTTATGATGAGTTTAATTGTCCCTTAGAAACATGCTTTTTCCCTCCACTGAGATTAAAGCGACCCTAAACAACTGTTTCAGGAATAGACTATTTGAACTCAATTCAGCGTCCTAAACAGCGGTGTGCCTTGTCATTTGCAATGCTCTGGGCTATTACCCCATGCTCTAGCTGTCACTCAGAAACATGCATATCTTCTGCAAGTCCTGTTTTGAGTTTTTATGGATGAGATTCATCTTATTCAACTTGTAAGCTCAATAAATTTGCTCACAGACAGAGACTGTCGCTTCATAGACCTTGCCTGCATATTGCTTCATCCCTTCCTCTCACCACCAAAATAAAGTCCTGCCAAGATAAAATAAGTGTCTCTATCTGGTTGTAACAGCAGTGTTTTTGGAGGAGTAATGATGTGAAAATAGCATTGAATTCATGTTTACTGGTAAAATTAATATCTGATTATATGATACTGATCTTAAATATATATATGAGTGTTTATGCAGAGATGTAACCACACCGCACAAAGTAGACAATGATGTGAGCTATGAATTCATCAAACACCTTGAGACTCAGCATAGTTATTTTTCACCAGTTCTATTTAACATAGAAATTCTTTGGATTTCCTAAAGTTTCTTATGTAGCCTGTGTCCGACTATCCTTCTTCTCCCATTTAACTGATGAAGTTGTTGAAATATGTCAAAAGCCCAGCAGAACAGCAAAATGAATGTTTTCATTTATACATCCAAAAGTGCCTGTGTTTCTGAACTAGCTGTTCTGTGAATTCCTTCACTTTCCTGTAATAAAAGTGCCACGGGAGAGTTATGATGCATGCTAAAGATAAAAGGAGAAATGAAGAAAGAAAGGTATATATGTGTGTAGGTAAACTTACACTGAATTGAAGCAACTGTGTGTCATTTGGGACAACACTAGCATTTGAAGCTGTGCTTCTCTTCCCACCAGGAAGAATCAGTGGCTGCATAGGAGTAAGCACACAAGCACACAGATAACATAAAGTCACTCAGAATCTCTCAAGATGTGGTCTGACATTTCTGGAATGAAGTTTCTGATTTGATGATACTAGGTTTTTGGGACCCTAGTAACAGATTTTTTTAAAAATTAGCCAACCCCAAAACTCGTGGTCGTGCAACACAAAGTACTTCTCCAGTGTAAACTCACTGTATGTCTTCAAACCAGCTCAAAATTTCTGAAGAACTTTACTTGGTTTAGGTAGACTTATGGGGAAACACCTTTGTCTATCACTCTAATTCCAGGCTGGCTTGCCAGAAATAAAACATCAGTAGTATCTTTCTGTAGCTTCTGTAAAGCAGACGTAAGAGTAGAAACTCAGCAAACACTCCGTATCATGCACACCGGACAGAGAGAGAGAGTATCTCAGTTGCACGCTCAGAGTTGGTGTGGATGGAAATCGGTGTATGTAAGTTTGTGAGTCTCTTCCAGGCCACTCATAGACAAATTTACATGCATAGATACTTAAAAACAGAGACACTACTTGAAAATCCTTTCGCAGTTGCCTTTCCAGAAGGCACCTTTTGCTTATGTGGCAAATCTCTTTGCATTTGTCCTGTATTCCAAACCTTTTAGCTGCATGATGATACACGTGTCCACAGAATGGACCAAATTCAGTCTCAAGGGCAGCAGATCAGACATCGGTGGAGCACCAGGCAGGAGGAAGACATTCCCATTGTAGAAAAAGTGAAAAACATGTGCTTTAGGGCCAGAAGAAGAGGACATAAGTCTATTACGCAGTGCTTTTCTGAGTTAAGAAAACATCACAGCCTTGGGGATTCCTGTCCTGATATAGGCAGATTTATCC